GGTAAGGCACTATGCTTCTATGCTCTGGTTCTCAAATTCAATTCCATATATGACAAGTAATTATTTATTCTCTTAATCCAGCCGTTGATCGACTCTGGATGAAGTCTGGAATCTCCATGGTGGCACACATAGCCTTTGTAAAATGAGAAATCTTAAAAGGAAAACCTGGTGGTTGAACGGGATATCAACCATCTTGGTTGTAATGGTATTGTATTAAATTGCAGATTTAGTAATGATGAAACCGTGGACCATAGCACTAGCGGATCCAGGATTTAATTTTGGGGGGGGCTTCAGCCCGAAACCTTTTTTTTTCATAAAAATAACGATAATTACATTGGAAAAACAGAAATAAACTAACTACCTATATGAAATGGTGTTTAAGTTATTCTTTAAGTACTTTTAAATGTAATTACACGAACAATAATACTTTAAGAGGTATTTAAAAAAAAAAAATCCACTAAAACATGGTTATATTTTTCCATTATGGAGGGGGGGGGGGCTTCAGCCCGAAAGCTTCTCCCCCGTAGATCCGCCCGTGGACCATAGCTAGTTTTTAGACCATAAAAATAACTTTACTATTTTTCTTTTAGAAAATAAAACTACGGTATAAAAAAAATATATATATATTTATTGTAAAAGACATAAATAAAATACGGATATGTTTTTGACATTGGCACAAAAGGGGAGATGCCATTAATATCCGCTGGAGCGCGTTGGCTGAAAGCCGGAAATCCCAAACCTCCCCCTGGGGGGAGGACTAGATTGGTCGCTATATTCGGGAGGCTGTGGCTGGGTCCCCGGGGTAGAGCCGATTGCTTTTACAGCGCCCTCTATAGCCACCATTGCCAAATCTTTATCTCTTTCTCTTGTGTCCCCATGTCTCTCTGACCTACAAACCTTTCACCCTCTTTCGGATCCACCTGTGGGCCGCCATATCCTCACCGTATTAGTTCGTTGGTTTCAACACGCTTTGAAAGATTGTTTTTGTGTTTGACTGACTATTTACTGAGGAACATTTTCGTTACGGTCTTGTTTCGTCACTCCATCTAGACAGGGTTCTCCAAACTACGGCTTGCTAATTATTTTGCAAATTATTCCCACAAAAGTTTATTGCAACATTAATTGCTTGTTTTTCATCTCTTAGAAAGCTCATTTCACAACTGCAGTGTCATCTGTAAGTCCTCATTTCTTCCCTGTTTATATTGTAGTGTGCTTACTGATTATAATTTTAATAAGCTTATTCACATTATTTATAATTTTTTGTCTAAATTAATCCACAATTCTCTATCTTTTTGTATCTTGTCTGTTCAAGATCTAATTTGCACTAAACATTCTTTAGTAAAGCTACAGAGGTGACAGTAATTTTATATCGTAATAAGATTGCTTTGATCTCGATGGACTGCTCGAAGGCATTTATCACTCGATTATTCTGAAAAATTGAGTGCATTGTTTAAGGCGTTTCTTACTTGTTTGTTATCAGTAAAGTAAGGTTTCAGAAATCAAACTCTGTTAATCTTACTTGTAGGATACTTCAATCAGTTTAAGTAGATATAATATTATAAATACCTTTACACATCCAATTCATGTTAAAATGTAAACATAGATCATGTGTTAAAATGGAGGTGGGTTGGACGAGGGGCTAACGCGTGTGCCAAACAAATCGTTGCCAGGCAACCTGATAAACAGACGTTTCAATGATAACATAATTATGAGGTCGTGTCCCGATGCCAGATGAGCTTATAACTCTGGAATTAATTCCCTTTTCCCTCTCTCCCGTACAAAAATAATATGTCCTTTTTTAAATTAAAAGATCATGTGTTAAATTGTCTATACTGAAACCCATCTGGACTTACGGACTAGAACTATGGGGAACAGCCAAATTTTCTAACATCAAACGCATTCAATCCTTTCAGTCTAAAGTCCTCCGTACAATAGTCAATGCTCCCTTCTATGTAACCAATAAAACCCTACACCATGACCTTAATATCCCATTTATTCTTGATCTTATCCCAGCTAAATTTTCCAAATTTCACCAGAACCTTTCTCATCACCCAAATCCCGTTGTACAATCCCTATCAAGCACCACCCATCCCTACAATCCCCTTCGTAGGTTAAAGCGGCAGTGGCCACGAGACCTTTTGTAAATATGGATATTTTGGAGTTCTAGCAATGGCCAGATTCTCCACTCAAGTCATGAGTGTCTGTGGCTGTAGCGCTCTTACTCATCCTCCGCTGGTTTAAAATACCAGTGAAGTGGCTGAGGGAGAAGCGTAGGGATCTCCTAAGCCTCCCTTTTCCCTCCACATGTGGAGGGGACAGGATTGGTTCGGAGATCACCTGGCAAATTGTAAATAATGTATGTTTTATATAAGGTGTTTGTTTTACTTTTATTTCTATTTTTATTTACTTATGTGAATATATATATATTTTTTTTTTACTTTACTCTTTTGTTTTTTCTTCTTATTCTTTTGTTATTACTTTATTTATTTATATTTTTGTATATACGGTATGAATGCAATCTCTGAACTCTATTATAAGTGTCCTTAACTGTGACAAATTGTAATATTTCTGAATAAAGTGTTTTAATAATAAAAAAAAAAAAAAAAAAATTGTCTCGGTTTGATGTATCTATTAACTCGATTTGGTGAGTCTTAATCAGACTATTACTGGTGTATTTTCTCTAACCTGATTTTATCTGTTTTCCTCTTGAAGGTCAAATAAGTGAAATATTTAATAATATATTTTTAAAATTGACTGAACCAGAAGTAAAATTCATCTATCTATTCAAAGTTTTCTTGTATTTTACTATGGCGTCAATTCGAACATATCTTTCTGACAATTTAAGATTATAAATTTTTTTTTTTTAATTTTACATTTGCTCCATTGTTTCACGGTATGAGTGATAATGGATGTCTTATGATGTATTTATTATTGTATGGGCTTATATTGAAAATCCAATACTAAAAATTTAGTGGAATAATTGAATAAAGTATCTAGATGTTGTTCGTGTTCTACTGTCCTTCCTTTGTCGGCGTTATAAGAACGCCGCTGGGGAGATAAGAAGACCATGCCATAAAAAAGAGAGGAAATGAAAGACAGGATCTCAATGGCGAGGAACCAATAGCGGGGAGCCTTTTTGGCGGGAATCATAGCGCGCCTTTTTGGAAAAAAAACCCGCCGGCGGGATTTCTATTACCGCGGCAACACTTTGCCCAGCCAGCTGTGAAATTCAGAACAAGTCGGATTGTGGATTCTTTGTACTGCGACGAGGTCCCGTCAAACAATATGGCAGTTATTGAAAAGAGGCGCGCTCTTCTGTTTTAATATCTCCGCTCCCGTGTTATATAAAGCGTCAAATATAATCCATACTGTATTGGAAATATCACGCAGGAACAGTATCTTAATTAACAGTATTTTTATTGGATATTTAACTAAATATGCAAATAAGCAAATACTTCACTGAAGTTTATGAAATAAAAACTCATCTAATAAATCCCATCGTTTTAAAAATAATATAATCTCTCATTATCTATATGTGCTTTTTTTAGGTAAAATTTGTTTAATGTTATAAAATAAGGCTGTGTTTTATTTCTTCATCATATTTATTTCAATTTATATAGCTACGTTTCGGTCGGTATCTTTAAACCATTTTATCCAACCATGCTTTTTGCATGTAGTCCAAAGTCAGATTCTGACTACATGTAATATGGCTTGAAGATGAACGTAGCTACGTAAATTGAAATAAATATGGTGAAGAAATAAAACACAGACTTATTTTATAACTCTCATTATCTTATTTTTATCAATTACATTAATTTTAATTGTTAAACGAAAATTGATGAAATTTATAAATTATTAACAAAATTTCTTACAAAATTATAAAAAATCTTTCAGCCAAATTGAATAATCGGTTTTTAGATACAGTTGGCTCCCGCTTAACCGGCTTTCTCTTAACCAGCACTAGCGATAAAAGAAAAAAAAATCGACATCCTTGAAAGCATTTATAACTTTGTGAGATTCTCAACCATTAGTTATAAATTTAATTTTTGTTGTGTTGTGGTTCGATAGATTTTAAATAGATTGAAATGTATACAAAAATATTTTGTCTATTATTTTTTTTTTAATTGAGCGAACTTCAATAAAACAAATCTTTTATTGAGTTGTTATCGATACCGTTTCTTTCGGTATTATAATTTAAAAATTAAACATTTTCTGAAAACTTTAGAAGTATATATGAATCTGATAATTAACAAAAAAAAACATATACTCATCTTGCCTATTTTATATAGAATGTAGAGCCTTGTAGAGAAAATATCGATATATCGATAATATCGACTATCACTGGCTATCCCTAAGTAAATTCAATTTGCCCAAATTTGTTAATTAGAACAGTTTGTCAATTCATTCTCAAAACAAGGAAACGAATTGATAAAGAAAGCCATGTAGGAATTTAAATAAATTACGAAAAAACATTCGCTGAATCCGATCTATGGGCGAATGGAAGACATAATTGGTTGAATTGAAATTTCTGGAAAAATTCTGAAAAAGCTAAGGATGAAGAAAATGAACAGAAACTAGAAAATTAATTTTACTGAGTAGACGATTTGATATTTCCATTAATTAATTTAAAGAGGAACGTCTTGTTTGATGTGCCTAGACGTTAGAGAATCTATATTAAATTGATATTCATAATTTCGATAAAAATATTGACTATTGATATATCATGTTCGATATTTTGATGGTATCGATAGTTATAGGCCTATATTAATGGCAATTTCTATATTGGGTCTTCGATATCCCGTCCCTACCTTCTCCACTGCTAGCAATCTCTTCAGGTATCTGGATTCATCATTGATGAACCACGTTTACGAAGATATTTGTATGTGTAATATATTGTGTGTATACTAATATACCTTTTTGTATATTATATGCCTTTTTTGTATATTATATAGTTATGTACTATAATGTTAAATGTTGCTAACATGTTCTCCTCTTGGCAGGCCTCTCAGCTGAGCTGTATTATGTCCGTAATGGAGTGCTCAACGAATACGCTCTCAACTTCATCGTCCCGGTACCGGCCACGATGAAGGAACTCCACTTCACCTGGCAGAGTCTGACCAGTCGGCCTGTGAGTACTCAATTAATTAATTATAATTAATAAATATTATTATATTTGTATATTTGAATAAGAGTCGTTAGTCGCCTCAGATTAGCAAATAAAGATTTTATGAAAATATACTTAAAAGATGCTAATTTGACTATTAAATCTAGTGAGGTTAGTGGTGTATGCAACTGCCTTGTAATTGACCCGGTAACTCATTTTCTGATCCAATGTATCAAGTTCAACGAACTTTTCGTTTTTGAGGTAGACTGATAAGACGCACACAGACATACACATAGATCATTTTGTGGGACTTGGTTATTTGGACTCAGAGAACCTCAAAACCTGTATTTCGGTTGAAAACTCAGAGATTCAAAAATTTTCACGATCGCAATACTTACACTTACTAGGGAATAGGCTGTCATCTAGCTAAATACTTAAAATACCAATATGTTTAAGTGTGATGAAGCCGTGAGTCCACTGTAGCAGGATGTATACTGGTATCAGACACATTTATAATAGAATTTAAACTCAATATTTTTATTACTAATAATCAGGGAGTTTCTTATACAGAACTTTTATAGGTGGAAACACTATTATTAGCTAAATAACTAATAACTATTTCAAGCGGTGCCGCTGGGCTCTCCTTTTCCTCATCCTTGCCAAGCCTGTTTTATTTTATTATTATTTTTTATCCATTCATTATTATGCTACTGCATGTACTGATCGTTTATAATTGTAATTAACAAACACGGTAAAAAAATAAAAGTTAAAACACATTATTCTTGTAGACTTTGCTATCATAACATATTCTAAAAGTTTTATCTGTATTGTTACTAATTGCGTTAACTTTGTATGGCTTTATAGGCGCTAAATCCAGGGTTGAAATTGAGTAGGATAGTTATATTAAGTAACCTTTAGTTAGCTAAAGTCGATTTAGTTGATTTGGATCGATTTCTGGTTCAAGTTGTACAAAGTTAATTTAGCGAGAGGTATCTACCAACGAGATCATATTGGCTCAGTTCAGTTGTCCCCTACCCCCCTCCCACCCTACAACAAATAGACGTTACGTGCCTCGGCTGAGTATCCCACCCCCTAAAGAAAATAGAACCTGGTTATTTCCTCTCTGCAACTGGAGATCTCTTAACTAATTTTCTATCTGATCTATGCTATGCTCAGTTTCTCACGTATGTGCTACAATTACCTCATGTCTCTGGAACTGTTGAATAAAGTAAAGTCTGAGGAGATTACTGATTTTTTATAATACTCTTCCACCCATCCTTCTTCCATACTTATATTGAAATACTTTGTCGAACTGGATTTATCCATATCACCAAAATCTTACAAATTCCTTCCTATTGACTCACTCAGATTCAAGGACAGAGAAACTATATTCATTTCCCTGTAACAGACCATCTATAGAGCAAGCCCTTTTGTAGGCTACCTAGAAAACCACATCGCGATTCCCGATTAATGTGGGGACCTCCGGACGGTGCGCGTTGCTTCCAGTAATCTGATGGGACTCATATCCTGGAAGAATCTCTAGCAGCGTGCCTTTATAAAAGTTAATATCTTATAAGACAATTGTGCCGAAAACAAAAAAAAAATGTTGCTTAATTATAAACAGAATATGTACATATATTAGTATAAGAAACAAGAAGATATAAAAGCAAAATAATTAAAAAGAATAACTTAACCTAAGTCCAGTCCAGCAGTAGATACAATTGGTACAAATCTCGGTATAATGATGTTGCAAAAAAATTTGGACATATATCCAGTGTTACCGCGCGCTCTGTGACAAAACCTCGTACTCAAGCCTCGTACATCCTCGTACGCTTGTTCATTCATAACTTGTACTATTATAAGCCCAGTGTTATTGTTTTTTTTATAGTAAAATTAGATCAGAGCTTTTTATTTTTACCTCTATTCATATATTTTAAAGCCTTTTTACATTGTTTTTTTTTTAAGTTAATGGGTCAAGAAGTAAAATTAGCTTAATAAAATATATAAAAAAGCTTATATATTTTTATAAACTACTGAAAACGTTATATAAAAATTAAAATAGCTAAATAAACTTCTTAAAGTACTCTACATAAGTATTCATTAGTAGATCCTAGATTTAATTTGGGGGAAGAACTAATTTTTTTTCTTTTTTCTAAAAACAAAACAACTACTTTTATGAAAGGATGTTAGTGATTCTGGAAGGCTAATAAAAATTAATTATTGGGGCATTGATACTTTTAGAGATATCCATTATAATATAAAAAAAAATAATAGATTGTGATTGTTTCAGTATTTAGCTTACAATTATATCTCGCACAAAATAAATTACGACCACTGAAAAAATACTTTTTTTTCATTATTTAAGATGGGTTCATCATGAGTATTAGTTAATTTTTCAATTAATCACTTTACTCGATTAAAAATCGAAAATAATTTTTTTAAATTACGGTAATAATTTTAAAAAAAATTCAATTTATCTAGAATATATTTACCATTGCAGTTTTATGAAGGAAATAATAATTAGGAAGGAAATAATGGATATACTTTCTCTTTATTTTATTTTATGCTCGATAAAAATGACGGTAAAAATTTCTTTTTAATTTTCTTTTACAACACATTTTTAAAAATACATATTTATAAAAAAATTTTTATGAAGGAAATAATGGATATGGTTTCTTATATTTTATTTTATACTGAATAAAACCTAAAATAATTTTTTTTAAATTTTATTTTCTAGAAAATTTTAAAAAAACTTATATATACAATCATCGTTTTATGAAGGAAATAATAATCATACTCTAATTAAAGAAGATATAATTGCAATTTATTTGTCTATAAAGCAACAGAAGTTCAGTATTTCATATCAACATAAATAATAATACAGTCAAAGTAACCGTAAAACAATTCTAAACTTCATTCATAAAAATATAACCTTGCATTGCAAACGTCAGCAAAACTTATGTACGAGGTACGAGGCCTATGTATCCTCGTACCTCGTACATTACGTCATAACCTCGTACAAATACGAGGATCCTCGTACAAACGGCAACACTGGTAGGCTATGAGAGAACGAAAGACAGGTGACAATTAACAATCACCTGTTAAATAAATAACTGTAACTATGGGTTGTCATGTTACAGAATTTTGCTATTAACTTTATAATGATATATATATATATATATATATATATATATATATATATATATATATTATATATATAAGAAAATTACTTAAAATCAAAAGGATTTAAGTCACATTATCATACAATTCTGACATAAATTCAGAGTTGCCAGTGTATTGTATACTTACTATACGATAGTATCACTGTGTTTTGGATGTTTAATTCACCTTTTGAACCTTTTATTTTATTATTATTTATATTATAATGCTACTACTTAATTTATTTATTAATATTTTCTGTAAATATGATGTGAATGTGCTATCTGATCTATATTATTATTCTCCTTAATTGAGACAGAACTCCCACATTTTATTTATTGGCATACACAAACGTGAATAATTTTAAAATATTCAAAATTTAGAAAACTTTACTTCATCAGTATATTTAATCGAACCAGGTCCACTCACAAGTTGGATTCGGATTCTTTGGTTCATTATTTTCAATAATGAACCATTGTGATCGTCCAGAAAATTCAAAAATTTAACCTTTTCCCCCCACAAAAAATAATTGGAGGTTTTACGTTTCACGATACGAAGAATTTGAAAATCGAACAGAAAACTGAAGGAGATGGTCCGGGGTGGCGGTCATAAATAGACTAAATATTGGCAATACTATTTTATTAAAAGCCAACGTTTCGACCCGACTTTGCAGGTCTTCTTCAGGGAGGTGTGTTCAGCAAGGAGTTTCACTTAGAACTCACGAAAGCAGTTCTAAGTGAAACTCCTTGCTGAACACACCTCTCTCAAGAAGACCTGCAAAGTCGGGTCGAAACGTTGGCTTTTAATAAAATAGCTATGCCAATATTTAGCCTATTTATGACCGCCACCCCGGACCATCTGTTTGCTTAATAATACCACGGTCAATTATTCAGTATTCTAATAAAAAACTGTTCGCGGCTTTTCTTCGAGAATACTGGACCAATTTTTCTAAAATTTGGAATCAAAATCAGAAGTCACCCGAGGATGGTCCTCTTTCTTCGATATTACTATCCGCCCTTTCCTCCCAAGATGGCGGCCGAAAAACCTGTGTTACTATAGACTGTAACGTCTAAACGAATGTACTAATTTCAATGAAACTTGGCTAAAGTGTTCTGCTCGATGATCTTTAAATGGATCTATATAACGTACTTCTATGAAAAGGAGCTGGAAAAACGTGGGATGGTAAAATTAGATTTTACAAGAAATATACACTTTTTGGGTTATTAAAAAGTTTAATAATAATAAGGCTTAGCGAACCCGAAGGTTCGATGCCGACACCACCAATCGCTTGTTACACACCTCCCTCCACCGTTCGCCGTTCAAACCCAGTCCCTTCAGATCGGCTTTAATGCAATCTTCCCACCTTCGCTTCGGTCTACCCCTCGGACGCTTACCATTCGGCACAGCAAATATTAACCTTTTAGGAATTCTCTCGTTACTAAGCCCAACAACTTTACAAGCCCATTTGATTCGCCGCGATGAAATTATCTCAATTATATTACCCGGATACAGCTCACGCAATTCGGCGTTGTGTAACCGTCTGAACTCTCCGGTTAACTCATCCTTCTTCGGTCCGAATATTCTACGCAATACTTTATTTTCAAAAACCTTAAGACGCTGCTCATCCCTTAATGTAAGCGGCCAAGTTTCGCATCCATAAAGAACTGTAGGCAAGATAATTGTTTTATAGATTCGAATAAAAAGTTTAAGATTTTTATTTTAAAAAAAATAAATGAATCGGACAATTGGGAGCGAAGATATGGTGTTCTAAATATTTTTTTATGTTCTATTGCTTGATTTTTTTAAAGTTTTACATCAACTGTAGCAATGATGTCTATTTTTTTAAGCAAATTATTTATGATAAA